GGGCTGTATAACTGAGTGCATGAACTGCAACAGTTACTCTGAGATACACATACCCTCATGCTTATAAGCACACCTCTCATTTAGGGAATGGCAAAGTTTAAACCTCCTTTCCTTGCTCATTTAGGGATTGCTGACAGGTGATGGAAGTGACAGCTTCTTCCATCTCCCAGCTCTCTCCTTGGAAGTTGCTGTTTCTGTGCCTTTGCTAATATAACCTCTCCTTATGCGGTTCTATCAGAATAAATATTAGAATAAAATTTTTGAAGATATAATTGATCAAACATGCCATAGTAAGAATCATAGTTATACAAGAACATACAACAATTGCCCAATACAAAACAAAAAGTACAAAACCAAATAGCTCTTCTGAGTCAATACATAAATATTGAATATTTGCTTACAACTTTTCAGATGTAACTTTACTAACTTTGCAGTTAGTCAGTCCCAGTGTGCCTCCAGTTACACAGGATGTTCAACACTTCAGTAGTATTTTCAGTACATACTTGAATTCCAGACTGCAGGACAACCACAAATGACATTTGTAAATTGTAATGTCAAGGTCTTACCTCTTCAAAAATAATGGACATAAAACATATTCCAGAGACCGATAAATAAATCTACCTCCCCTTGCAATTCAGCTATATACCAGTTCATTTTACCTCATACAAGCTGATAAGAACCCATAATTATTAATCAGTTCTCAAGTATTCAGCTTCCTAGCAGAGAAAAAAAAATTGACTCTTTTCTCTAGCTCTGCCCCAAGGGACCTGTCTCTAAGGGACTACAAAGTCTGGTTTATAGGGATCACACCAGAAGTTGGGAATATCGGAAGCAAGTTGAATGAGAGAATTTGAAAGAGGTTTTTGTGTCTGCCCTTCCTGCCACAATCTCTTCTGAAGATAGCTGTTTTCACATTGCTGCTAATGGTAGAGAAAAAAAGATATTGGAAGTTAGAACATAACCCTAACCCTAAATGTGAGAGCCCACCTGGAGCTTGTGGGTTTTACAACTCTGGTATAAAGTGATAAAAGAAGAGTTGGGCCATGCTCTGTACAAAACCTGAAACAAAACCATACAGAGATAGTTCTTAAGTATGAAAAGTGATCGATAAAACTACTAGATAGATAATAGATAATAGCTTCCATATAGCCTGAAGTACCTGATTCTGCCGAATCTTGTGAAGGGCCGGGTCTGGTTGAAACCTGGATGGGTGACTTAAATGTTGTGAAGCTCCAAGAGATCTTCAGCCACAAGCGGTATAGAAATGTTGTGAATAATAAATAAATAAACAATTATTAACTTCCACAACGTCCTTTTGCTTGGTAGCATGATACAGAACTAAAATTATTTTTTCACAGTTTGATGATGTTATATTTTAGAATGAACAGTTCTTATTTGAACTGTAAGAGGAATGATTTCAAGTAGTATAGCTTTACATGGAAGATAATTGGTATGAATGTATAAATGAAGAGGAAAATTCTCAGCACTGCAGATCCTTTTTGAAGAATTTTTCTGTAATGGTCTGTAATGTTGCATACTGAGGATACATTATTTCTTCAGTAGACAGTGCAAATGTCAACTAATTAGAGTCTGCAATCCTTTATCAGTTCATTGATGAAATTATTAGTTCAGCACAGTATGAACTAATGGCAACATTATATTTCTCCTAAATAACAAAAATAATTTCAGTTGTATCTAGCCAACTGCTTTTTGACTACAATGGTACCTCAGTTCACAAACTTAATTCATTCCATGACTCTGGTCGCGAACCGAATTGGTCGTGAACTAAGTCAAATTTCCCCATAAGGTTCAGTGTAAATAAGGTTGCTACGATCTGAAACATATGTATTTTTTAAAAAAACACAACAATATGAAACAAAGTACACTACAGTACAGTATGAAGAAAGAGACTAACCTTGCTTGAGGAGACTTCTGGCGTGGGGGACAGGAAGGTGGATGGGGAGGAGGTTATTGTTTGGAGGGAGAGTCTGCGACTGTGATCTTGACTAGAGGAAGCTATTACAATGTGTCAGAGCAGGGAAGATGGCTGCATTCATGCTTGTGCGAACATTATTGCTGACAACACTATCCCCACACGAACACAGTCGTGGCCATCTTCCCCGCGCAAACACGAACGTGGCCATCATCCCCACTCAAACATGCTCTGACACGTGGTTGCAGTGTGGGGAAAATCACGTTCGTGTGGGGAAGATGGCCGCAATTGTTTTCGTCACCCGATGCAGAGTTCACGAATGGAAGCAAAATTTTGCAGAACTTTCTGTTCCCGAACTGAATTGTTTGCAAACATAAGAGTTTATGAATCGAGGTATTACTGTACTTTCCAAGGGAGAAACCAGCTAGGTATTTATATATTTCTTTTTCTGAAGGACCAGTATGATATTATATAACTTCCCCCTACTCCGTAAACTCAACTCAATTTTTGTCAATGCTTGCCCAGTTTTGTTTTGTTTTTTTGTGCTGCTAAAGTAGCTCTCTGAAGGAAAGAAATTTCACAAAAATGGGGAAGAACTAGAATTGAATTAATCAGACTAGATGTTTTGATTAACAACTGATCAATGTTTTAAACTGTAAAACAAACTTCTACCACATTCAGTAGTCATCTTTTGAGTTTTTAAAAATGGTTTTTATGATTTCATTAAGTTATAAAGGAGGAAAAGCAGAAGTGCTCTTAGTTTACAAAAGTGGAATGGCACGGGGCATGTTTGCTAAGGCCTTTTTCATGCTTCTTGCATAAACTGATCTTCACACTTTCTGTGTCCTAGATTCAGGAAATGTGTGGTATGAAACTGCTCTTTGCCCACCTTTTTGCTTGCTTGAATCAGCAAGCAGGGAACATACTTGAAAGTAGAAAAACCTTGAAAAATAACTATTAAATGAATCATCCATCTCCAACTTACATGAATGGAAATGAATCTGTAAAATTAAAAACATTGATAATGCTGGACAAAAACATTTTCACAGATTTTTGCTATAATTTGGAGGGAAGAAAAGAATATTGCCCCCAGACTTGGTCAACATTTATTAACTTATTAATATGTAGTAACAATATATTAACATGTTCACTTTTTAAAAAGTCATTTCTTGTGGGAAGGGAAATTACATGCTTTTTAGTTTACATGAATGATGTAATCTATTATTTTCCCTTGCTTTTTTGAGTTTGAAACAAAGCTAGGGTTGCGTTAGTCTTAGCTCTGACTTAGCCAACTCAGCACCCTATCTTTCAAGTAATATTTGAAACATGGTCTAACAACCATAGTCTCTGAAATGCTGTACAGATGGTTACTTTGGAAACTTCCAATTTTGTATTATATACAGCCTGTATAATGACTCAGTGAGGCCTTTATACAGGAATTCAGTCACTGGAATTGATTCTTTTAAAAAATATTTTGCTTTTCCCTCCCTTCCGATTAAACTCTCTTGGGCAGTGAGGATGCCAGGGTTTAGCACAGACCGAATAAGAAAGCACTTGTTGTATTTGTTTTATTTACAAATGTACAACCAGAATATTTTGGGGACAAACAGAAACATACAGCACACCTGAGAAAGTAGCTGCATCCCAAAGTGCTTCACCATTAGTCAGTTTCTAGATCTCTCTAGATAAGGCATGCTTGCGGTCACATCACTATCTGCAATTCCCACTAGCTGAAACTGGTCTATGGGAGAGGAGTTCCATTAATGCTGGAACAACATCAGCTGATCCTCCCTGAATATCAGAAAGCAACCAATTTAACAAAGGGTGGTCTCCCAGCAGATGTAACACTGTCATTTGGAGTCATCTTGCCATCAGGGGTTGACATCTACAGTGTGTTTGCAGTCCATCTCTTAAGTTTGTATCTGGCATTCTTTGACTTGGTTTTGTGATATGCTACTTGAGAACCATTTATGAAGTAATAATTTCATTTATTTGTGAATAACTTCATTTTAATTCAGTGTAATTGTATTTGGTACACAGTGTATCTGATATTTGTTAAAATGTAAAGGCAGGAACACAAGGACAGTTGGGTACAACAAACATGTCTATTCTAAGCATAGACCTGCTGGTCCTTATGCTCTACTTCTACCAACACCAGCTTGCGTGTAACCTCAGAGCTGACAGGCTATTACAAAATGAAACACTTCAGCAGTTCTAAGATTTTTTTCCCTGTGGAATAAGAACAAAAGTGACAGCTGCCATTAGAAAATAACTTCCTGCATGTATGATGAATGTGGTCTATAAGCAATGAACAGTGCAGGTACAGATTTCTTCAAGTTTTAGTTTGAATTTGTGGAGTTTGTAAAGGCCACCTATACAGCTTTTCCAACTCCCCAGATTATTTTCTGGCTCGGCTCAAACACCTGAAATCTGATTCTGGTTTGATATTCTGGATTAAACACAGAGATTAATGCCTCAGTTGCCTAGTTCAGATGAAATGGGAAACTGGTGTAAGAAAGTTTCAAAGTTTCATTCCAGAGTTCAGAAGATGGGAGGGAGTAGACAGAACATTTTTAATTGTCCATGCACTGGGGTGGCTTTCCTCCCCAATTCCTGGAGTGTAGTTCAGGGGATATTTGAGGGTGCAATGATGGTATCTGTTGTAGTGGCCACCTGGTCACTGAGGGAAATCAGACATCTTTGCCACTTGTCTTGTTAGTGGTTTTAATCACCTTTAGCTCAAAGTTATCACCTTTAGCTCAAAGATACTGGTTTCATGTCTTCCCTTTTGATGGTTTGAGTGAGTGTTAGGTTTACTTGTCTAAAATGGGCCATTATTCTCATGTGTTCTTATATTTCTGCTTTTGCCATCTTAAATTGTATTACAATATTAATGGCTTACATTGGCAGAGAAAGTTAAAAAATAGTTTATGTACACAAAAAGCAATCAGACAAGTCACTCCATTCAAATAATTAGCTTATTTGTTCAAACCAACTAATACCTTCATTGTAATGTCCCAGATTTACATTACTATGTTTAAACTTCTTCTTTTTATATAATTTACAGTACTATTTTACTGTCCTCTTTGGCCATGAAGGACAGAAGCCGCTTGAACTTCGTTGTGAGGAAGAAGCAGATGGACAGGAATGGGTAGATGCTATTCACCAAGCCAGGTATGCAACTCCAGTGATAACTTCTATCTAACCAAACGTTTCTGGGTTTGCTGTGGGTGGTTGTGCTTCCTTTCTTCTTACATTTTTTCTCTCCTCTGGCTACAGCAGCTGCAGTAGCTGCTCTCCTTGTTCTGCCCCCACCTTCTCCACACCTGAAGTCCAGCAGTCTCAAAGCTGTTCCAAGTAACCAGTTTAGTACCACATTACATATAAGGAAGCTCTAAAACATCTTAGTTAACAAAATGTGGAAGAGGAGGAGGATAAAGATAACAATAACAACAAACTAAAATTATTGTCATTATTCCATATGAAAAAAGAAAATGACTTGGGAGTGCTTATCATTTAGACTCAATCAGTAATATTTAATGGCTGTTCTTAGTTTTTGCCATGGATTTACAAAATAGTAATTTATTAAAATGAATAGAATGGTATACAGTATACTCCCGTGAAGCTGTGATTCAGTGTTTGCAGCCTCAGTCTTTCGCAGAATTTTCCGCGCAGCTGCTTTCTCACAAGATCGTTTTCACAAGAGAAGTGAGTCCAAGCCAATCTCCTTCTCCAAGTGAGTCCAAACTGATCTCCTTGCAAGCAGCCTTGTTCGAAGGATTTCGGTTTGGACTCGCTCGGAAAAAACGATCTCTGTGCCCGCCCCCCTGCCCCTGTCCCTGTCTTGCCACATGCGTGTGCCTGTCTCCTCGGCCCAACCCACCTGCACTGCCTTGGCACTGCCCATCGCTGGCACCAAATTCGCGGTTTTTCACAATTTGCGGGTGCTCCAGGAACGTAACCCCTGCAAATTTGGGGGGACTACTGTATTCATAATTTTATTACATGAGTTAGGAATAGGTCAAAATTTTATAGGGCTCAGATTATTTATTTATTTAGTAGTGACTAAAACAAAATAATGTCAAAGATTAGCCAGTTTCAGTTATTGTCTAGAAATGTTATCAGAATATGATAGAACTTGTTGTCTAGAAATGTTATCAGAATATGATAGAACTTACTTAGTAGAAATATAAAGGACTATGCAATTGATTGTTAGATGATATTGCTTTTTTACATTAGTGCCGTTCCTTTTGGGGGTGGATGTAAGGAACTGAGATATTGTACAAACTGGAAAACAAGTCAGGCAGAAACAGAATGTTTCTGTGGATATTGCTTAGTTTTAAAGGCCCTCATGTACACCCTGACCCAGAAGGAAAATCTCGGCACTGATTCCACTAACTGACTTGTATGCCAATTTTAGAGCTGTGTTTGAATGTTTTTGAGATCCGTTATGCACAGTTCTAGCATTTATTAAGATCAGTTAAGTAAAACACAGCTATTCTTATTAGTTTATAAGACAGGCACTGCAACAATGCATGTAGTTATAAATAACAGTGGATGGATGGAGTAGTTCCATCATGCAGAAAATACTGGAAACCTGTACTGGCTGAAACCTCAAATGGCTGAAAATCTAGGATATTCCATATTTGTTATAAAAGAGAGTCCAAGTATTCATATTGCCAATTATACTGATAAATTTCAATTATCCCGAATATTAACATCCCTGATCATGTTTATAAAATTGCTTTAAAGATAATAATGGATAAGAATTTTGTCATATCCCTTGAAAATAGATCTTAGAACTTTACTAGAGTAGGAATGTTACACTTTACTCTTCAAATGTGTTGCCTACGCTGGTTGCATACATAATAACTAACATACTTATTAACTCAAAAGTTTCTGTACCTCTTTTTTCTGCTCGCAGCTACTCAGACATCCTGATTGAGAGGGAAGTTTTAATGCAAAAATATATTCATCTAGTTCAAATTGTAGAAACTGAAAAGATTTCAGCTAATCAGCTACGACATCAACTTGAGGATCAAGACACAGAAATTGAAAGGCTGAAATCAGAGGTATGTTCCAAAATAATGTGAAGATGACTATTATTGTTCTATTTTTACAGGAATGCCCCAGGCCTTATCCCATACAGTCATTCATGCCTCTTCATCTGATGGAACAGAAAATATTTTTCTTTTCTTGGACCATGTTGTTTCTACAGAATCAGTTTCAGGCTTTAGAGGAATATTGATTAAAGCAGGAAGGCTGTTCTAGCATGCAAAGCTGTGTTGGGCTTCAGGGGCTTGAAATTATGGCTCTGTCAAGTCTCAAGTGAAATTTTGAAACTGAATGTTTTGGAATGTATAGAAAACCCTAACAAATTCTTTATTTGTTTTGTTTTTGGCAGATCGTAGCTCTTAATAAAACTAAAGAACGAATGCGACCATATCAAGGCAATCAAGAAGAAGAAGATCTGGATATTAAAAAGATCAAAAAGGCAATTTTCTACACACCTCTTTAAATGGAAAAGAGATACCATAATTTGCCTGTATTTTTCTTTGAATGCTGAAAAAAATAGTGTTTTCAGTCTTAAACAGTTTAGCTGAGTTCGTATTCCATTTTTAAACTGCAGAAGGATTATCTAATGTCTAAGACACAGAATTTTGTCAAAGCAGGCAAAGATTCATTACATGGACTAGATGTAGTTAAGGTTCACAGGCCCCTGAAGCCATGTAGAAACCAGGTTAAAAATAGCTTTGCTGACCATTGTGTGTTCAAGTCCTTTTATATAAGGGATCCATAGAAAAGATATTTCTGGTTTGATGTGATAGACTCTAAACAAAATGTACTTAATGGTTGGTTGACCTGGCACTGCAACAACAAGGAAAAGAAAAGAAAAAAGTTGATATAGTCAAAAGTCAGCAATACATATTTTAAAGTGTAAGAAGGAAAACAGAATTTTCCTTAGCATTCTGCATTTAGGGACCAGAACTACAAGTGTCAAATTTTGCCAATAGTGTTACATATTTCAACAGTGTTACATATTTAACTGATTCTTACTTTTGCACCTGTGTTATTTTTGTATATATATCTCACGCAGGAAGCATAAGGTCAATTTAGTGTTGACAAGTTTCAAATCTGCCTTTACCATTTTACTATATACACCGATCTTTCTTTTATGGCTTCTCAGAAATCTTTCTGTATCGGGTGTCTGAAAGTAATCTGCTGAGTAGAGCCCATTAGAAATGACCTAAAGATTTTACTCAATCCATAACCATCTGTGTGCTGCATGAAGTGTAGTGGTTAAGATCATGGGACTAGGACTCAGGAGATCTGGGTTCCTGGCCCTGCTCAGCCATGGAGCCTTCTGGGTAAATTTGGCCAGTCACAGACTCTCAGCCCAACTTGGAGGGGTGGGGAGATGGCCACGATCATGCTGGTCGGGGGCGGGGGGGAATGGCCAAGATTGCGCCTGTCTTTCCTGCTGGAGCGTGCCCGTGATCATGCACTTCCCTTCACAAACGCAACTGCGATTGTAGCCATCTCCCCTCTCGGGGTGGGGGGTGGGGAGATGGCTGCAATCTTGATCACCACCCAATGCGGAGTTCATGACCCATGTCAAAATTTTCATGAAATTATTGTTCGTGACCCAATTTGGTAGTGAACCAAGGCATTCATGAGCTGAGGTACCACTGTATAAAATACAGACAACAATAAAAACTTCATTAAAATTACAGTACAACATTTAAACATCAAATGCACTTTATGTATTAACAATGTATTCTTCCTTTACTTGATTTTTAGGTCCAGAGTTTTATGCGTGGTTGGCTGTGTAGAAGAAAATGGAAGACAATCGTGCAAGATTATATTTGCTCTCCACATGCAGAAAGTATGCGAAAGAGAAATCAGATAGTTTTCAATATGGTTGAAGCCGAATCTGAATATGTACATCAACTTTACATCCTTGTGAATTGCTTTCTACGGCCACTAAGAATGGCTGCAAGTTCAAAGAAGCCACCAATTAGTCATGATGATGTCAGTAGCATATTCCTCAACAGGTATCATTTTATGTATTTTGTGACTCTCATTTGACAGAAAGAAGTTGATCCAATTTTGTCTGTTTTTCCCCTTCTCCTAACTCCCTTCTCTGTGCAGTATTTCAGTCACAGCATCAAATAAAAATTAAATAAACTGTAATGTGTCATATGTTGTACTTAATCTTTTAGACTTCTTTGAGGCTGAAATCTCACACTGTCTTTTGGGGAAAGCAGGGGAAGAATCAGTAATTGCCATTCTTTCAGCTTTGTAGATCTTTTCTCTACTAGCTTTTCTTGAGCAACCCAGAGAACTCATTTACACTGACATTTTCATGACACATTCTCCTGGGTATTAAAGCAGTGAACAGAGAGCCCTTTCAAGAGGGGCAGAGTGGCGGATTTATTCTTCATCTCCAGCCCTGCTAACTTGCACCAATTTTGGGGTGGGATAGCAGTTTCACTGGAACTTGGATTCCTGTGCTTCTGTATATTTTCAGAGCTTGTTTGCTGGGCCCAGATTAGTCACATCTATGTGGATGGAGCTCCTTTTAATCTGGCAGTTCTGGAGCTAGCTTTTCTGTGCTCTGCCCACTTTGGGCAGCTCCATCTGTTACTGAAAGTGGAAGGACTGCAGAGGCCAATGAGCAAGTATCACCAACATGGCATCCCAGCTCCCTCTAGCCATCAACATTCAGGGTTTCGGACTAAAGGTTTAAGTAAAAAGCTGTGGTTTTCATGAGATCAGCATCTATGCTACACAGAGGAATGCTGGGAGTTGTAGGACTTTTTTCTGTCTAAATTTGCATAGTTGCACCTTAAGATAGTCAGAAAAATATCATTTATTTGATGAACATTTCTAATCCACTCTATTCCAAAGATTTTGAAATATAGGTGTTTATGTAGGCATGGAATCAGGCTACGTGTAATATATAATGTGATGTAAGAATCATACAATATCTTCTCATGATAGACTTAAAGCTGTTTTTATAATCTCTACTCTTCTTTCCAGTGAAACTATAATGTTTCTTCATGAAATATTTCATCAAGGATTAAAAGCGAGAATAGCAAACTGGCCTACTTTAATTTTAGGTAAGTATGATGTATTTATATTAAAACTTTTCTGTTACTCTTCAGTAGCCCATGCTTGCTTTTATTTGACCAAATGGGGTTGGTAAGAGCCATCAAAGCTTTATCAAACTCAGTGTAAGGAAAGTATTATGTCTGAATTCCACAGTAATTTAGATATGCACCTTTTCTCCATCAAGGTTCAATGGAAAACATAAAATTTGGCAAAACCAAAGTATTTATTTGATTCTACAAAACCATGTAGAAGGGAATTGGATAAGCCCTATTTCCTGTGGGTTTCTGCAAGCAGAATTTGTGTTAGCGGATCATGTCTATGTAATTGTATTGTTGTAAACATTCAATATCAACTTCAAGGGTGACTCAGTATGCAGGTTTGCACCTTATGGTAAGGCACTCTGAAAATAAAATGAGCCACAGGACAAACCACGGTGTGCCTGACAAATGCTTGGGCTCACTGTGGAATGTCCCTCAACTTTGCCTGTGAAAGGGAGTGGGAAATAAATAACCCCTATTGCAGAAAGATCTTTTTTGTTGTTTTGTTTTATTTTGACCTGGCAGTTTCATTGTCCTGCCCTTTTATGCCCTTTCCTGAGACCAGGTGCTTTGGAAAGTGGAAAAGTGCAAATGACCCCAGATAAGGGAGCTGTTAGAAAACAGGTTTTCTTTTAAACTTGGTATTTTAACAAGGCTAACCATGTGTATGTACCTGTCAAATCCCCCAGATTATCCTTGCCCCCCAAGCCCCCAAAAGCCCCCCATATTAAAAGATAGCCTGGCTTTTTATATCTCCTGTCAAATCTGTCAGTTTCTCTAAAAGTGGTGGCTTGTACCTTCCCACCTTCTCTAGAACCTGGAGTTTCAGGAAAAGGGAGGAAAAATTGCAGGGTAGTGAATATATACAGATCCAACCCAAAAACAGAGGCCATCACTATGAAGGGGGTGATCTATTCACTATCCCCTTTAATGAGCAGAAATCCCTTTCTAATGACAAGCAAAAAGGGGTTAAAATCACAGTGGGAAACACCAAGCAAGTCACTCCACTGCACTACTTGGGTTAGCTCAGCAAGAGCAGCACGCTCACCACTTCCCTGCATGTGTGATGCAGTCACTTGTCTGGATTCGGACATCATGTCCACCTATCGTGGGTACGACAACCCTAAGAACAAGTCGTGGATTGTCAGGCGGGCTTGCTTCCACAATTAAGCCTCCCTGTAGGAAGCAGTCCAGGTTTGCGTGACTCAGTAATGCACCTTGACTTTTTCCCCACCGTGGGTTGTTATATTGTGTGAACCCAACCTATGTGTCTTTTATTATGCAGAGTGACTGAACTATAAAGTTGCCAACTTTTGCCCAGAGAGAGGTTCTGTGTCTTTACAGCTGATAGGTAGGCATTCAACAAGTGTAGCATTCCTCACCTCTGAATCTCTGCAATAAGAAAAAAGTGTGTCTTAAAATCTGCATGTCAGGTTTGCATATTTCTTTAGTATAGGTTCTGTCAGAGTAAAAGGCAGCAACCCTGTTCCTAGCCTAATATTGTTAGCTATCGATAGAGTTCCTGAGCAGTCAAGTGATGCTAGGGAAATGGGACGTGTGGTTCTTGATAAAGCCTCAGGCTGTGCAGTTTCTCTGAATGCAGATAATTTGATTTGAACTTCCCGATTTCTTGCTATGTAAGTTCTGTGGAAAAAGTGAATGGCAGCAAATACTGACTTTTCTCTTTTCCTTATAGCGGATTTATTTGATATTCTGCTGCCTATGCTGAATATTTATCAAGAATTTGTTCGGAATCACCAGTATAGTCTCCAAGTGCTTGCAAACTGCAAGCAGAACAGAGATTTTGACAAACTCTTGAAGCAATATGAAGCCAATCCTGCATGTGAGGGCAGAATGCTTGAGACATTCCTTACCTACCCCATGTTTCAGGTAGCTTTAATTATTGTGCATTTCTAGAAGCTGTTCACATTCTTTTGGTTGTAATTCCAATGTCTGTTGGTGTAGCAAGGTTCTATTATTTTATCTGATGGGAAAATATTTTACATTGCACCTGTTGTAGTATAATCAAATAGATAATACTTTATTTTTTGATATATTTTATTTATTTATTTATTAAAAGTTTTTATATGCCGTCTCCTTGCTACATAGCCTTTCATATTTTGAAAGGCATTTTGGTTTTTTTTTAATGTAGTGGTCCTACATTTAACAGTTTTGCATTATTTGAGGTTTGCTGTTATGAGATTTCCTTATGATTCCCTACTAACAGTCAAGCAGCCCTGAATGCCTTGGGAGGAAAGGAAGGGTGTTATTCAAGGGGGTTATCCAGAAAATTATTGAGCTGTGTTTTTTGGTTTTTTGAAAAATGAGAGAGAGAGAGAGAGATTGATTCCATTTTCACATCCTATCTGCAACCACCTTGCTTTGGTTTTCCAAAACTTTAGATGCCTCCCAACCAAATGAAAATATGACAGCTTCTGTTGTCATTGCAAACGTGGGCTGCTCAACAGAAGAGCATGAAGAGCACTTCAAACTCACTCTAAGAATGGCAGCTGTCATATAGTCGTGCAATAAAGGTTGCATCCCTAAAAACAGCTGGCCCTTGGGACACCAGGGTGTTTGGCATGAGATGAGCTTCAACCCCAACAGCCAATTTTCGGGGTACTGCCTTTATTCTCCTTCTTTGATTGCTTCCCTTAATGCCTCTGCAGCAGCCTCTGCTCATGTTGATAGTGTGAAGAGGGACCGCCGCACGGGCACACACAAAGTCTCTGACAATAGCAAAAGACACCCAAAGAGTCAGCAACAGCCAGGCTCCCTTTGGGCTGCTGCAGGGAAGAACTGCTTTGGTTTAGAGGCAGTCTGAATACTTCCAGAGCAGCCTGGTTCAGTATTCAAGCTTCATCCAAAGTGGATGCTCTAATGTCTGCATGTGGAACACTGTCATTGTACTGTTTCTTAAAGCCACTTTTTGAACTTGGAAGATCTGATCCTAATGTAGCAAACATTATTTTGAATGAGTGAGCTTATGGTGCTGTAAGATAATTAAAGCAAAAAAGTGTTCGTTGTATAATCAGTCATGCCTTTAAATATATTGCTGACAATCCCTTTCACTCATCTTTAGATTCCTAGATATATCATAACTCTTCATGAACTTTTGGCTCACACACCACATGAACATGTGGAAAGAAAGAGCCTAGAATTTGCTAAATCTAAACTAGAAGAACTTTCAAGGTGAGACTCCTTTTCTTTCTTTTACATATAAGATAAAAATATAAACTAAATACATTTAAATATGTTTAGGTACAGCACAATTTAAAATGTATTCCAAATAGCTCCCAGAGACTGGAATTTGGCTTATAAAAGAACACTCAGAACAGTGTTCTGAGTATTACAGAACAGAAACATAGTTGTACCTAAATTATTTATAGGCATTTTATCCTGTGTTGAAACCAATTTAGATTGTCAGGAAACTCACATTTCTGAACAACTTGTGACAGTTCATCTGCAAAAGGAACAAATTTTGGGTTAATTAACCCAGCAAAAAACTAAACAACCTATTGGTCTTGGTTTGCAAATTACTCTGAGAACATCTGATCATGTTGATCATTGTGATGTGTGAACTGACCTTCCTTTTAGCCTAACAATTAATTACAAATGGAACTCAGCAAGGTGAGATTGATACTGTCTTTTCCCAGTAGTCTTCCTGAAGAGTAAAGAAAGCTGCTGTTTTGACATATTTTCTTAGAAGTTGACAACACTGGAATAGAGTAGATGTGACTTAAAAAGAAGAGGTCACTGAAGATCTTTTGGTAGAAAAAAATTGTAGTGGAATTAAGTACACAGGTAGGCAAACTTCAGTGAACCATTTGTTGATGTGACCAAAATAAAACGGTCCTTTATCCAGTAAAGAGGAGACTATTAGGTTTCCCAGGAAAGTCCTTATCAAAGAACACCAGAACACCAGAGACTGATCACCAGATCTGGTTTTAAACACTATGCTTGTAACATTTATTCTATGATATAAGGAATACAAAAGTATAAGAATACAAGTTTAGCAATCATCAGCAACAATATCAAGAGAGGCCTCATTCACACTCACACACAACCAGTGGACCCTTCTCCAGTGGTGATCAAGTGGTGGCAAGGGCTGTGGGTGACCAGTTGCAGTGCTGTCCTGGCACACATGGAGGCTGGAAAGCCCAGGCATTTTATACCTCAAAATGTTTACGCCATCATCTAGTCCAAGCTGGATCGAACAGTGAGCTCATTTGAGCAAAACTGACACCGGATGTACTGGTCCCTTATCTTGAGAAACATGTTCACCACATTCCATTCTCTCTCTGGATGGTACAGGGCGGGGTTATCTTATCTATGACATTCCATTCTTCAGCCACTCCTGGCTGTTGGCTTTGCTGTGCAAAATACCTCAGTCTTGGTCAGTCCCATCATGCTCCTTTATTCTCCATTTTCTTCTGGGTCTCTTAGGCCTTCAGGTTATTGCACACCATAACAATGAAATGGAACTAAAAATGCTTTTCCCAGTTTAGAAATATGTTTCTGTTTTGTGTAACCAAGCATATTGATTTATTTTGCAATAAATGTGCCCCGTTCTTCTTCCAAGGGACTAAGAGTAACATTTTAACTTTTGTTGAGCAAGGATGGGCAATCTGTTACCCTGTCAGTACTGTTGAATTACAGCTTCCATCATCTATGACCTCTGGCCATGTTGGCTGGGGCTAACTGGAATTAGAATCCAACTGCGTTTAGGCAGCCAGCGGTACTTCACCCCAGCCTTGGAAGAATGTCTTCCCATGGACACCCAATCCCACAGCTTTGCAGCTAAGTGAATATTTCCCACATTCAGACTCAGCATTCTGCCAAGTGCACCCTAGCTTTCCATTTCAAAAGCTTAATTTCTGTGATTCAAAAGTTGTCACTTGCTCTTTAGGCAATATGCTCAGAAATATTTATTTATTTGGGAATTGTATGGTGAAGTATCCCTTGCTATACCATACCACTGCTGTACATCCTTGTTCTCTCTCACTCTCTCACACACACCTGAATATATATTAACAATGAACATATACTAAATGGACCTTGTCCAGAGCTGCAGCACACACCTGGCAGATTTGTGCCCCAGTTTTTAACAAAATGAGGGATTATTGCTTCTGAAGTGGGGAAATGAAGTTTAAGTGATGAATGATGTAAAAAAATGGCAGATATTTTGTTCATAATATACATATTATGTGTATATCCATTTTGTTCATAATATACATTTGCACACACTTTTCAACAGAAGGAAATTGTATGGTTAGTATACTAATCCCATTGCACATGGATTGGTATAATAGTTCTAATAGTCCTAATTTAATCAGAAAGATGGCGCTTAGAGAACTTAGGGAACTGATGTACAGCTGGAGGAATCTCAGTCACCCTGGTAGACTGTGGGAGCAGAAATGGTTACATTTAGAGGAAAGGAAGAGAAATGCCCCAAAATGGTTATCATTACATGGCTTCAGAAGAAATGAGTGAATGTAACTTCCTGATTAGCTTCAGATAGTTGGAGAAATGCTGTCAGCACCAGCTACTTTCAGGCTTCCTTACTTTTAAGTAAAGATAATAAATGGGTGAGAACATTTTAAGATTGGTCCTATTTCCCGTCAGAGGTGTGGATCTGCCAGTTTAAAGGTGGCATTATAATCATAGAACAGAAGAGTTGGAAGGAGCCAGAGAGCTACTGGATCCAACCCCATGCTCATTGCAGAACTCCAAGTTAAACCATCCCTATCAGATGGTTGTCCATCTGTTAGTTGGTTCGTTAGCAGCAAGATAACTTTATGATCATGTAGACAAGTGAGCTGGTGTGATGTCAAAGTTGCATGCTCCCTCTTCAAGCCACCAGGTTGGGTATATGGTGTGCAGGAGCAGGAAACCTCTGACAGTCCCCAAAGAGCTGGGTTGCTATCACCATTGCAGAAGGAGTAGAATGAAAGCAATCAATCATTGTCACTTGCTAGGGGCCACTTGGCCAGAGCAGCACAGGGATTGTTGCCATGGAAGGCATTTCAGATTCCAGGTGCCACAAATGAATATGCTTTCTCTTTGCTCACTATCCACTACTGCAGATGGTGATGGGACCTGGAGGAAGGTCTCTGAAAGTAGCAGAGTTCAGACAGGCTATACTAACTTTGTGTATGTAGTTATAAATATATTTCTGGTAGCTGAACATTCCTTTCCCTCTTTTCTTTGCAATAGAGTGATGCATGATGAAGTGAGTGACACAGAGAACATACGAAAAAACCTTGCAATAGAAAGAATGATAGTAGAAGGCTGTGACATATTATTGGACACCAGCCAAACGTTTATTCGGCAAGGTAAGACCATTTAGTTTAATGTGGATTCAGAGAAAATTAGGGAAGAAAAGTAGCCAAATAAATGTTGGCATCATTGGGAAAGATAGGGTTGCAATATATGCCGAGTGTCAGAAGTCTGCATCTGTCCAGATATTAGTCCTACAGTGATGGGCTGCTGCTGAGCCCTACTTCTGTGCTGTTTTTTTCCAGGGGATATGAAAAACAGCAGCACAATAATAATAAAGCAGCCATGGGAAAGTAACATACATACTAACAGGACTATCATCTTCAGTGGATCAGAAATTATCTACAGCACCATGGAAAGTAGGTCTGTCTGGCCAATAGATGCTGCAGTTCCAGATGATGCCAACATTCGAGCAAAAGCACAAGAGAAACTTGAAGTACTTGAAGCTTTGTCAAATGGTGGAGTGATTGTGAGGAATGAAAACAGCTGCCTTTTATTCCCATTTTTCATTTGTGCTTCAGGAACAGCTCAAAAGAATGCAGTTTGATTTTTAAAAAATCACTATTAACCAAGTGTACTTTTCAATGCTAGTATCAGATGAGGAAAGATGAGGAAGCATGACATTATTATCTGGTGTGCTTGAAATGCTTTAAGGGCATGCTTTACTTGTGCCTGCTGGAGCATTGCTTGTGGAATCTCAGCATACGTGGCAAAAAAAAAAGCATCATGAGTTAGCAGGCTCTTCCAACTGATTCCTTCCAGATGTTTTGATGACGACTCCCAGTATTCCTCATCATGATGCCTGGGGATGATGAGAGTCCAAGTCCAAAACATCTAGTGGGCGACAATATAAGGAAGTTCTCTGTTGTGTTCCGTTATGTAGCCAAAATGACACCATCCAGGCATAAGAGGATAACCCAAATCTTTGTAGAAATACAGAGTTGTTCTTGATAGTGAATAAAGGAAAAAACCTGCAGAGGAGAAAAACTGAAACTGGAAATGGGGAGAGTAGATGGCATATCCTGCACAAAAGCACTAGCATTCCACGCTACGAGCTCTTGTGACACACTTATGCTGCATGAATATGTTGGCCTGTGCATTATATTTCTAAGAAGAAAATAACCAGAGTTCTTTTAAAACAATGCACACCTATACTTTGGATTCCCCCCCCCCCCCAAACAGCCTCTTTTAAACCTGAACGTAAGCATGTGTGCACACAGGACTCAGGGTTAGGCTACTGATGGGGAAGCATTACTGCTTTGGTTGCTGAGCAAATAGCACACATTTGTCTGGATTGCAGCTTATTTTTTTACCTAGAATTTGAGTTCAAAGACTATGAAGTGACATAGGTATGATAAATGGCACTGACATGAAAGTAAACATACCTGACATTAAGAGTCATTCTCTAGGTCAGTACATTTTATGATGGAGGTGCTGGATCACTAAGTGCACAATCCTATTCATACTTAGAGAAAAGTCCTGCAACACCCAACATTCCCCAGGAAGTCTTGCTGGCTGGGGAATGTTGGGAGTTTCCAGGCCTTTTCTGTCTATCCATGCATAGGATTGCTCCTTAAGTCTGAAAAAGCAAGTTATTCTACAAAATGTGCAACCATTTATCTATATAAATGAAAATACTTCTTGTTAGTTATCTGTACTGCAGGTCTTTTATCTTCTGTTTTAGCAAGGTCTGTCTGTAGCACAAAAGTTTTCTAAACCTTGTAATATTGAGTGTACTAGTGATCTGGAAGATGGGTTGCATAGGCTTATAATAAAGTGTCCTCACCAGAATACACAGCCAATTCTGTATGCTTTATCGGATCAAACACCTGCATTCTTAGAAGGTATTTCTGATTGATGGGGCTATTAATGATTCAGTAACTCTTTTTACATATTCACAGAGATTATACTTGAAATGCTTCAGACCAGAAAGTGTTGCTTTTATTGTATATAACGTAAAGCAAGAATTGTGACCTCTGTTGTACTATTCCATTTTTGATAACCCTTTCTAATGGAAATATGATGTTGCATGTGAGTGCTTTATGCTCTGTATTATTTCTACTTTCTTATACCATGCTAAAGTGTATTCATTGCAAAATGGCTATCAATACCATTTTTTTACAATACAATACAATTTTAAGTACATTTAACTGGAAACAACCAACACTGGATTCATTTTGGCTTGAGTCTGATTTTTAAGAGATTCCAGGCTAAGGGAAAGTCTTCTTTTTTCAGGTTTACATGTGATCTTGCATCCTGTGTAAACAGTCCTTTACTCAGACATTAGTTTAGATGTGTGCCTTTATGCACAGTGATCTGTGGCTTAGACGGAAGCTGTACTGGCATGTCAGTGTTGCGTACAATTGGGCTAGAGCAAAAATTTTGAACACTTAATTTTGTGTAGTGATGCTTAAGGAAATTCTTGTCATGCAGCCAGCATCTTGTGAAAATGGACACTTACTTCCATAAGTGCATTTAGGAACAAAGCCTTAACATGTCAGTAATGCTCGTTATGCATTGCATGTCTGTCAAGAAATCTGTAAATTAATAAACTGAAATATTACAAAGATTTATTTAGTATATTTTTATTCACTGAAATATTTCAGCCAAAGACTCATGTTTGGACAATGCTGTTCAAAAGAATTTGGAAATAAAGTTTCCTCAATGACACTTAAGAAAGATCACCTATTACAGTTGCTAAGATTTATATTGGTTTGAAGTGGTATTATACGAACATAAGAAAAGGCAAGTTGGATCAGACCAAGGGTCTGTCTAGTCCAGTACTCCATGCACACGGTGGCAAACCAGCTGTCCACAGGATCCGCAAAGCAGGATGGGTCCAATACCTCTGCCTGCCAAAGTCCCTCAGCAACTGTTTTATGTAGGCATGAAACTTCTGGTGAAAGACATAGCATTTATCCCGTAATGCTATCAGCCACTGTTAGCCTTCCATGACACTGTCTAACCCCTTTTAAAAGTGGTGCAGATGGATGACCATCACAACTTCCCATGACAGCATGTTCTGTCACAACATTATATGAAGAAGTATTGCCTCTTCTCTGTTCTAAACCTTCCCCTAATGAGCTTCATGGAATGACCCCAGGTTCTAGTGTTATGGAAAGGGAAAGAAATATCCATGCATAATTTTAGCATCTCCATCATGTCTCCACTTACTTGCCTTTTTTCTAAGCTGAACAATCTCATTTGTTGTAGCCTCTCCTCATATATGAGCTGCTCCAACTCCCTGTACTCTTTCCAATTCAGTAATGTCCCTATTTAGCTGAAGCAACCAGAACTCAACTCAATATTCTAAGCGTGGTTGTACTAAGGATTTGTATAAGGCAAGTAAGATCCTGTCAGTTCTGTTTTTTCTTCCCTTCCTAATTATGCCTAGCATGAAGTTTACCTTTTTCACAGCAGACACATACTGGGCCAACACAGAGCTGTCCACTGTGACTCCAAGATCCCTTTCTTGCTAAGACACTGCTTGCTCCAATCCCATCAGCATATACAGTACTTATGGTTGGGATTTTTGCCCCCTCATGTATTACTTTGCACTTACTTTACAGTATCCAACCACATACTGCATAGTTCCAGAGAGATCTGTGTTTTCAGCCTAATACAGTGAACAGGCACCAATGGAATTTACTTTGCAATATATAGGAATATAATCATGCAGCTTGATCCATGTTTGATTTATTCTCAGTTCAGTTCTTTTACTCCCGAGTAAGCATTAAGCCACCCTGAGAATAAGCCACTATGAGTTGGTTGCTTGTTTGCTAACCCAACAGACAATTAGTTACACTGTGGCTTTCTCTTGCTTGTTTTCCTTGTCAGTTCTCTTCCAGAAATCTTTGTGACAGAATTCCTTGTTTCCTCAGTCCTTTCATTAGCACCCTTTCTGAAATTGGTCCGCTGGGGTTGCTTGTACCTGAAGGAAACTCCCCCTTCCAGTCCTGCTGCATCAGATCACCAAATGGAATTAATTTTCTGAGCCTTACTGAAGCCAACTGTGTGTTTTCAAACTTTTCCCCCAGTTGCTTGTGCAAGAATGAAAGGCTGCCTGTCCACTATTTAGCCCAGTGTATCTCTCCCTCTGGTCAATCTTCTTGTCAATGTGATCCTCCACTTGGGTGTTAGTCTTTGGAGCCACACTTTCAGTTACATCTATAAAACAGCTATAAAACAAGCTCCTTCTCCTGCAGCCCCCAGCCATTTCTCTGCAATATCACAGCTGCATACTTGCACAAGACTGATGAAAAGCCTGTGCAAATGCATTTGGAACACTCTCGTGTCGTCTTCTCCATTTTTAGGAATGCAGGATGGAGGGCACCAAAAAGGGATGAGAAAGGATGGTGGTAGCACTACTGAGATAATAAGGAGCAGCAGGAATATTCATTGTTCAAGCCAGGCCAGTCTCTGCCATTCACAATACAATGAAATAGCTTTGCCAAATCAGACGTCTCAATAAGCCATCATGAAAACAAGCCATTCTGCACAACCCCAAAACAAGTCCTGGGTTCTTAGAAAAACTTCTTGGTTCAGATGTCACAATATTCCACCATGATGATCACCAGGTGAACCAGGTCATGGTGTACTAGGTATATGTGTTGTAATTAGACTAAGTAGAACTGCAGGGCATTTTGGCTAGAGTGTTGGGTTGGGACTCCAGAGATTTTGGTTCTAGTTCCCATTTGGCTATGAAGCTTACTGAGTGACTTTGGACCAGTCACTGAGCCCAATCTACCTCACTGGAGCCTTTGTTAGGACAAAATTGACAGGAGAAGGAGGATTATGTAAACACTCTTGGAGTTTTTGTAGGAAAATGATATGATATAAATATAATAAATAAAAATAATGAAAGGGGGTTCAAATCCCCACAAGCACAAACCTTACTAGCTGTCTGGCAAAAGCCCCAGTATTCCACCTGTACTGGCGTTTTTTTGTTTGGTTGTTTGGTTGGTTTTTTTGGGCAACCTATCACAAAACATTTTGAAGCTAAATTGGGATACAGTATTAAGCTTCTTCATCATTTATTTATTCTCACATATTTAAA